CGGAAATTCAAGAAATTCCTTAATCAAAAACTCATTTTAAAGCTCTAAATTGATAAACTACTATGTATGGATGGATTAGGCGTTACTTACGGGTTTGTATTACCAATGCTCAAGAATTGAGCTCTGAGAATTTCCCCCGATGCTCCCCTGTTCTGGGCTATGTTTCTGCTTCTCTCTGGGTTTACGGAACATGAAATGGGAAAAGAGATGAAAATGGGACGGAAGGTGGGGGATTAATATAAGTGATGACTGCTTGCTTCCTTATTTATATAATTATATATATAATTAATTATTTATATAATTAATACATATACTTATCCGATCGACTGATATTTCGATTTTTGTCATCCTAGTATCCACTGCAGTGTCCCCGTCAATGTTAGTTCTAGGCTCCAGATCAAATTCTCGATAAAAACACATCAAACCCTAGCCGGAGATAAATTCAGCGATTTGGACCCCGACATAAATAATTGTCGAAATTCATGGATTAGAACAAGAGGATTAATTACCTCGTTGCAGGAAGCTCGTATATGAAATCTAGCATCAATCTGGCATCAATCCAGCTTCCGGATACTTCAAACCCCTAATTTGACTTATCGGAAATTCAAGAAATTCCTTAATCAAAAACTCATTTTAAAGCTCTAAATTGATAAACTACGATGTATGGATGGATTAGGCGTTACTTACGGGATTTTTGTATTACCAATGCTCAAGAATTGAGCTCTGGGAATTTCCCCCGATGCTCCCCTGTTCTGCGCTATGTTTCTGCTTCTCTCTGGGTTTGCGGAACATGAAATGGGAAAAGAGATGAAAATGGGACGGAAGGTGGGGGATAAATATAAGTGCTGACCCCTTGCTTCCTTATTTATATAATTATATATATAATAAATTATTTATATAATTAATACATATACTTATCCGATCGAGTAATATTTCCATTTTTGTCGTCCTAGTATCCACTGTAGTGTCCCCGTCAATCTTAGTTCTATGCTCCAGATCAAATTCTCGATAAAAACACATCAAACCCTACCCGGAGTTAAATTCAGCGATTTGGACCCCGACATAAATAATTGCCGAAATTCATGGATTAGAACAAGAGGATTAATTACCTCGTTGCAGGAAGCTCGTATATGAAATCTAGCATCAATCTGGCATCAATCCGGCTTCCGGATAGTCCAAAACCCTAATTTGGCTTATAAAAAATTCAAGAAATTTCCTAATAAAAAAACTCATTTTAAAGCTCTAAATTGATAAACTACGATGTATGGATGGATTAGGCGTTACTTACGGGATTTTTGTATTACCAATGCTCAAGAATTGAGCTCTGGGAATTTTTTCCCGATGCTCCCCTGTTCTGCGCTATGTTTCTGCTTCTCTCTGGATTTGCGGAACATGAAATGGGAAAAGAGATGAAAATGGGACGGAAGGTGGGGGATTAATATAAGTGCTGACCGCTTGCTTCCTTATTTATATAATTATATATATAATAAATTATTTATATAATTAATACATATACTTATCCGATCGAGTAATATTTCCATTTTTGTCGTCCTAGTATCCACTGTAGTGTCCCCGTCAATGTTAGTTCTATGCTCCAGATCAAATTCTCGATAAAAACACATCAAACCCTACCCAGAGTTAAATTCAGCGAATTGGACCCCGACATAAATAATTGCCGAAATTCATGAAATCTAGCATCAATCTGGCATCAATCCGGCTTCCGGATACTCCAAAACCCTAATTTGGCTCATCAAAAATTCAAGAAATTTCCTAATAAAAAACTCATTTTAAAGCTCTAAATTGATAAACTACGATGTATGGATGGATTAGGAGTTACTTACGGGATTTTCGTATTACCAATGCTCAAGAATTGAGCTCTGAGAATTTCCCCCGATGCTCCCCTATTCCGCGCTATGTTTCAGCTTCTCTCTGGGTTTGCGGAACATGAAATGGGAAAAGAGATGAAAATGGGACGGAAGGTGGGAGATTAATATAAGTGCTGACCGCTTGCTTCCTTATTTATATAATTATATATATAATAAATTATTTATATAATTAATAAGTATACTTATCCGATCGACTGATATTTTGATTTTTGTCGTCCTAGTATCCACTGCAGTGTCCCCGTCAATGTTAGTTCTAGGCTCCAGATCAAATTCACATAAAAACACATAAAAAACACATCCACTGCAGTGTCCCCGTCAATGTTATCCGATCGACTGATATTTCGATTTTTGTCGAAATATTATCAAAACTCTGAATTTTAATCTCGAAATTTTCTAGCGACCGTAACACGAGTTTAGGCGGAACGAAATGTTACAGAATGGGCATTAGAAAGGAGCTACACGTAAATAGAGATGGCGATAAGCCTTCTTTATCATAAGCATGTTATTCCTTAACTGCCGCCAAACAAATGCAGATGTGTGAGTGGATTAAAACTATTAAATTCTCGGATGCTTATGCATCTAATATCTCTCGATGTGTCACCAATGATGGCAAATCAGTTACCGGCTCTGGTACAAGGGTTGTTCAACAAAGAGGTCTATGTTATTCTGGCATAATTAAGTGTTTTTTTTTCCGAGAGTTGTGTGCGAAGACCATAACAAAAACTACTCTGGAAAAACTGTAAACAAACATAGTTCTCATACTTTGTAAGCTTGAAATGGTATATCCACCATCGTTCTTTGTTGTTATGATGCATCTAGCCAGTCATCTACCCCGTGAGATCGAGTTTGGGGGGCATGTTCAGTGTAGGTTAATGTATCCCGTGGAAAGGTATTTATAACTGCTTTGTCTTTTAAATTTGTTTAACTACACTAAACTGATGCATATGAATAAATCAACTCAGATTTTCTATCTTTGCATGTCATTAGGTTCTTAGGTACTCTGAATAACCTTGTAAGTAATAAAGCCCGTCCCGAGGGGTCCATTGCTGAAAAATATATAGCAAAGGAATGTGCAAACTTTTTGCGGTAGATATATGCATGGAGTTGAAACAAGAACAAACCCTCTTGACATAAATGATGAAGGCTGCAAACTAATGGAGTCTAGTGGCTTTTCTATTTTCACACACAAGACTAAACCTCTAGGAGGAGCTACCTTTGTCACCCTAGATAAAGCTAAGTTAAATAAGATTGAAATGTATATATTGAATAACTGTGAAGAGGCACAAAAGTATTTCAAGTAAGGGATTTCTATACGTACGTGTTGAAAACTCAATAATTGACAAACAAATTCTGACTTTGAAGCTTGATGCAACATTTTTTTCGAGGAGATGATGGCTATTAACTCTAACACTAGACTTGAAAACTTTGAATCAAACTTTCCAATTTGGTTGAAATCCTATGTAAGCTACTGCTCCCCTCCTTTTCGCAGATACAATGTTATGGTTTGAGCATGTGTACAATTAGAAACTTACTTATAAACTTCTAACTTTCTTGCTGCCTTTTGTTCTCGTATAGGTTACGAGAATGTTCTTGTTAGGAAAACTTGGGGGAAATGACCATCTATATATTTTAGGTCTTGGGGCAGACGAGAGACTTACTAGATATAGTGGTTTGATCATTAATGGGGTTCGGTATCAAATTTATGAAATTGATAAAACTCTTCGCACTCAGAATAGTGGTGTTGTTGTCGAAGGTGAGTATAATGGGGAGAGTGTGGACTTTTATGGTGTGTTGGTACAAATTTTAAGGATACAGTATTCTGATGGCTTCCATGTCTATATATTCAAGTGTGACTGTTGGGATGTAGGAGACAAAAGGATTGGAGTAAGGCCAGATGGCTTTCTAACTAGTGTCAATATAAGGCAAAAGTGGTATGAACACGACCCCTATATATTATAAGCTAGTCAAGCCAAGTAGGTTTATTACATTGAGGATATGCAAAATGGAGGCAATTGGCGTATAACACATAAAGTATCGCATAGGCATGTTTATGACGTTCCAAAGATGGAGGATGAGGATTGCACAGATCTTGTATATAATTATGAGCCATTCCAACTAGACGAAAGCGTTGATCTAGGTCCAATTGTTGTAGATGATGGACACATCCAACTGAGATTGAATGATGAGGCCCCAATTACTCTAAGCGAGGAGGAAATTACAGCAATGGAAAAGTTGCTCGTAAGTGACCCTATGAACTCAACAATAGAGGACTTGGATAGAAGTGAAGAATTTGAAGATGATGTGGAGGAGGACACAGAGAATGAAGTGGGAACTGATCATGTCATTCCTGCAACTAAGGGAATTGACAGCGAAGAAGAAGATGATAACTAATCTAGTTATTTTGCATGTTTTGCTACACCTACTGCTAGTATCCTCTTTGTCTTTTATACTTGATTGCTTGCTAATACATAATGCGAGATATTTTTTCCAGTACATTGTCAGTATACCTATCTAACATGAAAGTCAAATTATGAATGGTTATATATGTGTAGAAGAAAAAAAATTTAACCTTTCTCAGTTAAACAAATAAGGTAAGGTTTTGAGTTTAATCTTCTATGAGATTCAGTCAATTTGATGTTGCTGGAACTAACTAACTTTTATCGATAACCCTTTTCTTTCAGGTATGGCTCCAGGTGCAGGTCGTGGGGGTAGAAATAAGGCTGCAACTGCTCGCACAACACCAACAAGTAGAACAACAAGAAGTTCAGCCCATGTGCAAACAACCACAACCACGGAGGAGACGTTCTCGTCTTAGGGTTCTGATCAACTAGCAACAAACACTGGGGCCAATGACAATAATGCTGAAGAAACAACTGTGACTGCTGAAACTTCGTCTGCCAACCAACCAAGTGAAGGGACTGGTTATTACCTTGCACTCTCTACTATGTTTTAATGCCATAGGTCAAATTGCAATATAATACAGAACATAGACTTGTTACTCACCTAATTCATTGTATTTCTGTAAGCTAATTTAACAACTACTTTATTAGGTCTACAACGTAAGAAGGGATGTGGAAAGGCTAAAGGTCTAGAGGTAGCAAAGAGAACACGAGATGGTAGTAAGATTGGCGGTCTTGTAGTTGCTCGAGGAGCCAAGAAAGTGGTAGGCCGCAATGAGAGAATATTTAAGATGGAGATCGGGGTTATCTATAAGCTCATGGCTCCTGTTAGTAAGTTCTACTGGTCAGATGTGATCGAGGAGCTAAAGCAACCGATTAATGCCAAATTAGAGGTAAAATGTATCCCACATTTTAATCACTAGAGGTAACATACTTTGAATTGCATACTCAGATGTTTTCATATGTGCAGAGTGAGTTTGATATATCCATGACTAATGAAGTTATGAGGTTGGCCGTAGATTATTCACTATCTAGGCGGTTCATTAACTTCAAGCATCATTGTCATAAGCATTATCTGGCATTAGGTGTTGATGCCAATGCTCACCAGACCTCTCCTGAAAATGTCAAGATGGAGGAGTGGATAAGATTATGTGATCATTTTGAATCCGCAAGGTTCAAGGTCAACCCCTTCTATCATAAAGCTAATATTCTAGCTTTATTTTGGTAGTATGGTTAATCTAGGTTAGATAGTGCATATATATGTGAAGGATTGACTAAGTTATACTCTCTTATATGGTCAGGTTTCTCTTGTATTATGTTTCCCATACAGCTATGCATACAATTGCACCTCCAAAACCTTTTACAATATGGAACATTAATAGGAAACAACCAATGAAGCAACCAACCAAGCTGATAAAGAGAACAATGAGGCGGAATCTGAAGAAGTGGTGGAGCAGCCAAAGGAAATTACAGTTTATGCCCAAACACAAAAAAGGAAAGATGGGACTTGGGTCGATGTTCAACCGCAGCAAAACTATGTAAGAAAATTACAACTTGTTAAAATTCGTCCCGCCAACTACAACTTGATGAAGAATCTGATTTAGGATTGATTGTGAATTTTAGAATCTGAGGGTTAGTTACTGTTCTGATGTAAACACAAGAGGAAATGAAAAGAATACACAATGAAGCATTGACAAAGGGGAAACAATTATCCGGTGCTACACAAAAAAGTACAGCCCGAGTTCCCAAATAGAGAAAGACCTTGAGGCACGATTGGAGGCGTCATTGGCCGAAGGGGAGAGACAGATGCAAGCATTTGAGGACCAAATACATGCCCAACAGCAGTAGATAGAAAACCAGCAAAATGAGATACACGGTCAAAAAGAGGTTATCCAGCAGTTGCAAGCATCACAGGATAACCTGACGAACTATGTGAAGACATTGGCTGCCAAAATTTATGGAAGACCAGTTTAGTTGCAGGTAAAACTTTATCCCATAAGTTTTTGTTGCGTTGTCATCTGTGTTAAGACTCTGACAATGTCAAAGGAATAACTAGGTAAACCTCTTTCTATTATACAGGGTTAGGTATATGGCAGAAGGTATGCACTTCCTTGAACTTTCATCGCCCATTTTGGATGCACAAGCAGCAGGTCATGCGTATTATTAGTAGAAGACTTTTAAGTTTGTTAGGACCTCCATCAAAAGTCTAACCTATCCGGTGACTTGGAAAACTTTCATTTTGTGTATGGATGGATGCAGCTGCTTTAGAACAGATGCTAGCATGTTACCTTTGAATGTTGAAGACTTTTGAATGCTATATGTATGGATGGTAGTGGCTTTTGCTACATTTTGTTTATGTTATGGATAGCAGTAGCTTTGGACAAATGTTCTTCTCCTGGTAGATGTGATGTCGGACACATGTTATACTAATACGACTAGTTTAAACAAATGTTGACAAACATGTTTGGTCATCAACATTTTACGACAAACAGAATTCGTCACAAATAATGCGCAAATTGGGTATGGGAAAGAATATGACAACAAAACATTGTCGTAACAAACATATTGTGACAAATAAATTTGTCACTTATACGTTAATGTTGATATAATGCATTCTTTGATAACAAAACCGTTTGTCACAACTATTCAATTTGTCACAATAGCGTATCAGAATGTGCATCTGACGACCAAAGACATTATTCTATTATGACGAAATATCACTTCACTTCGACAACAATATTTATCAAAATATGTGTTCTATTATGACAAAACTTGGCCGACTTACCATTGAAATATGTTGCGACAAGACATTAAATATTATCTAGACCTCGGATTAACCGGATTTTTGGGCATGGTACTATACCCTAACCCTTAATGAGTAAACCCAAGATCGTAGTTTTCTAAGTCATAGAGCCTAAGCCCTAAGATTGTGCATGTAATTTGTTACATATATTCCGACGAATCATAGCTGTTGATTGTTGTTTCTAATTAAACTGATCTTAGTATGTGAGATTTATAGAATTAAGACCTAGATTTTAATCTTTAAAGGTTTAGGAATAGTACCAGATGCCAAACTCCGGTCAATTCGAAGTCTAAATAGCATTTTTTTTACTCGGGGTATGACGTACCCTTGATTTTACCCAATGTACGATAGAACCGTTCATATATATATATGTGTGTGTGTGAGATACAAATTTATTTGTTTTTATTAAGTGTTAGTTAAGGGATTGAAAACTAAGACCTTAAGATTGAGCGATTATAAAGAATGCATTTAGTATGGTTTATTCTATAGTATTTATTTTACCTAATCTTTTGTAAGAAAAAATTACATCTTTAAAGTGAGTATTTGTTGTCATCTTATCAATATCATATCACAATCTTACTACTATGATAAGACTTGATATCATTTTACTATTGTCATACTACGATCTTACTTCTTACCACTATGATAAGACTTCACTATTCCGTAATCTTACAATTATAGCTCAACAAAATATCTAAATGGATGTCATCTTATAGCACACAAAAATCTATTTTTTTAATTCGGAGTTCAAACGAAAGATATGTGTTTTGTCAAAAATTTATAAGATTGAAACAAAGCTCGAATTACAACATTTGAAATATTTATCAAACATGGGATTATATAATGCAACATAGCTATATGTTGCTCCAGACCCATCGGTCATTAATAACATAAATTTAATCCGCTTCTTCAAAATTTCAATAATTTGTATGAGATTTTTAAATCCGTAAATTCGAGGATCCCACAAATGTACACCCATTTTTAACAAACATAGAATTTCAACAATTATTTGTTGGGTTGGATTTGCAGGCAAAACCACCATCCAGTCACTAAAGCAAATGAACGATCACCAATCTGAGTAAGAAGTTCTTGATAACTTGGTGTCACACGGAAACTCTTGTCTATACTAAATAATGATACCACTTTGCAAGTTACTTGAATGCATTTGGTTGTTAGATTTCAATTATTGTCGACAGTACTTAATGCATGGAGTTTTCCCACTCGAATGCAATACAAAAGGCAAATTAAACTCGTATAGTTATAATTTTGAAGTTTACGATAATAGAAGTCATTTTTTAAAATATTATAAATATAGTTATTTTCGTTAAAAAAATTTAACTGTGATAGCGACGCCGTGAATTACACTAATAACAATGTTGATGTGGAGCCCATGTCAACTCCAAATTGCCAACCCATACCACCTTCGCCACGTCATATTTAAAACTACATTCGTGTAGCCAAAATTTTGATGCTAATGACACAATTTTTTGCATAATGAAAAATATAGTCATTAGGTCTAATAAAATCGTTGCATTTGACACTCTACCTTCCCTCTTCTTTCCTCCTAGTTCTTCCATTTCATTTTCGCCGGAGTCGATCCGCAGATCTTGACAACTTCGTAATAGATGGAGCTCCGACACCGATGAAGAAGACTCAGACTGAACAGATCGAGACCGTGGAGCAGCAATTCAAGGATCTCTCATCCAAATTAGACGACAATTTCACTTCATTATCCGCTCGCCGTGGGGGATAACTACGCAGAGCTCATAGCTTCGGTTGCTGATGGTAAAAGGAGATGGTACAAGTCTCGATGCAGGTCATAAGTATTAAGTAGTGGAGGTACTGCCAATTCTCTGATGGTAAAAGGACCAAAGCCAGGGTGCTGATATTGGTGGATATAGGCAGCACAGGCACTTCCCTCAACCAACATAAGGCTTTCCTTTGGAGCTTGATGGTGTTTTGGCCTTTTGGGAGCTGCTGCACCATTACAGCTACAGGTTCAATTGGCAGTTAACACCATTCTACCAAGTGATTGAATTTGCAGGAATTTCTCATGGGGGACGCAGGGTAGCCTGTTCAACTACAATTTAAGGATCCTGTGTTTTTGGGTATGGCCTGGTTGAAAACCGTAACTCTTGTTCATTAACCTTCAAATATTCTCTAATAGTGGCAGTAGTCAGGAAGTGGCTCTCAAGGATTTTCAAAAGACTGGAGGCTCCAAACCCATGAGTAGGAAGAATTTGTTGACAAGTTCCAAGTAGAACTCTGGGCTGGCCACCTATTTAGCCTCAAAACACAGGTAATCAATTCCCAACCTTAGACGCATTTCCCTGAATTTTCAGCTCCTTTGGCTCAAGAAAGAAGGTATATTGACCTACTTGATTATGCTCAAATGTAAAGAAAACGGGGCAGAGAATAGTTCAAGACATTTATGTATAGATATATAGAGAGCAGAGTGCAAACAATTTTCTTCTAGGAGATACTTATCTCAGCAGTCATTCCTTGATAGAATAGCTACTTAACTACAAGATAGTTCCAAGATTTATCATCAGTTGGATGGAGCTCTCAGCAGTCAGCAGTCATTCCTCACATATAATAGCCACTTAACTACAAGATAGTTCCAAGGTTTATCATTAGTTGGATGGAGCTCACACGCACTGCAACCACTTCACTTCTGGTAGGTAGTAGACACAGCATAGCAAACTTGCCAATGGTATGTGTAACCAAACTCATCCCTCAACTCATTGCTCTTCACTTACATCATTGTATTGAACTCAACCAGAGACTCCACATTCAGCATCCAGACCATATACCTAAAGCAGACAGGTTTTAAGAAGACTTGTCAACTATAAAATGAAAAAAAGAACGAATGAGCATAGAAGGAGAAAGAATGAAATAGTTAATTATAAAAAACATACCCCGGGCATATTCCACTCCTCTGGTTACTTCTAACCACCTGACGACGGCTTCAATGCACAGCTCAAATAGCTCCTCCATTACGACCTCTATCTGTTCCTCGCCAACTTGTAGATCCTTTCGCATTTTCTACACATACAAAAAAAAACATATATATACATTCAGATTCACTTCTAGGATGAGATACAACATAGATTATCTTAATGATCCATTATTACATACTTACACTGTGTTCAATCGCATTTCGCATAAAGGCCATATATTTCGGACATCTCTCCAATGAGGATTCCAAATAAGAGATATGGTCGGCTACATCATGCGCAATGCTCTCGTAGTATTCCTTTACCTCGGTTTTCCAATGACCCATTTCTTGAGCAATTCGATTAATAACACTCTTTGGCAACAGGTGCACGCCGACACAATCAGTAAGTTCGATTTTGAGGTCATTTTCTGGACCAGCCAGACCGAGTCCTTCATAAAAAAGCCACATCCTACATATTGCTTTATCACCTTTCCTCATATCCCACAAAATGGGGTGATGGAGTAGTACTTGTTCCATAACCCTGAATACATGACGATCACAACACAAAGCAATCATAGTTAGTTAAGCAGTTGTTTGCCAATGGAATTTAGATGTTGAATTTGGTCTCCAAATACCAACCATCATGTTTTTGGGAAAATCCACCATTTGTTAAGGTATGCAAATAAATCCATGGGACCCATGGATTTGGACCATTTTTTAGCTCCAAATCCATGAACCCCACGTATTTGCAAATACAACATCTCAATTGATATTTTTATACCTAAATTCCAAATCAACTATATTATACATGGTAATAAATCAATTAAACAAACAATGTTATCTTTCAAATACAAAATGCAATAAATACATCTAAAATCCAAAGTTTTTTCCAAACTCAAAACCTTCATTTTCACATCAAACAAGCAAACGAGCACTAGGTTTTGCCATATAGAATTAATATCATATACTCGTAGAAAGAAAGTTTTAAATAACCTTACCAGAAGTCATTCAAAGTCTCAGACGTTGTTCGAGATGTCCCTCCCGATGAAGTCGACGATGTTGCTAGATCAGGCTGTCCCCATGTCAAGGAAAATGTAGTTTCTCTCAGGCTTTTAAGCCTCCAATCCATCAACCCACCTTCCCTTCCAATCCATCAACCCACCTAATTACCTCCATCCCAAGTTCTACACGCATGAAGTTCACCCTCTCAGCATTGAAAGATAAAAATAGTTGTCTGAATGGCTTCTGGCAACTATTTGGCGCCAATAGACTCACATACTCTGTCTCTCCCCCTTGCTGGTCGCTAGCAAGCCAGTGACTACTTTTGACAGCTGCTTCTTCTGCGGCTTGGTTTATGCCTTCGTATTTTCTTTTCTTTCCTTTGCTTGGTGATGGTATTGTCTTTGTGCTGTGTTCTGACATTTCATTTTTTTAGGACCAATTCGAGGTGTCTGAGTTAATTTGAGAGCAGACACAACGTCTAAGCACTAATTTGTTTGCTAATGGACGATGTTGGTAGTAGCAGCTCTCGGAAAAGGAGGGATCCTTCTCCCACTCATTCGCCTACTATCCCCAATTGATAACGGTGTAATCGCATGTTTTTATACCCCTATTTCTTACCCATTTGCGGGGCATAGTTGTGTGTTTTGGCCTATTTTACGCCGGGTTGTGCTACTTTGTCATATTTCAGGTCCCATGCGTCGAAGGGAAGGCCAAGCACGAGTTTCGGGGCATTTGGAAGTCGTTTGGTCGAGCTATGACCAAAACACGGGCAGGCTGCTTGAAGAACACGGCCGTGTACACCAAAGGGCCCGCCAGTGTTTTTATTGCCGAGAGTTGAATGAAGAAAAGGAGAAAACACGGGCGGGGTCAATTCAAAACACGGTCGTGTCCTACTTCAAACACGCTCGTGTTTTCCCCCAGACCGTGCCCGTGTATTTATGACGTGGCAGAGGGCACGGGCGGGCTGGAGCAGAACACGGCCGTGCCCTCGACCGTGTTCTGGCCAGTGATGCCCTTTTAGGCAGATTTTTAGCCAAAAGAGAGGGGATTCGAGTTTTAGAGAGACAGAGCGATTCCTAGAGAGAGAAAGCGACGAACAAGAGTCTCCAAGTGCCCTAGCTTGATCTTCATCACCATTGGAGCTTGGCTTGAGCTTGGAGAAGTGCGGATCAACGTCCAGGAGCAGAAATCCATCCTTCACAGTATGATTTCCGCGTCTGAATCTGCTTTTGCTTCTTTCTCCATGGAGTAGTTCTCCCATTCATCTGGGTATGGGAAACCATAGATCTGTATGTTAGGTTTGATTGTATGAATCCAAGTACTGTTTCCATGATTTGATTATATTCGATTGAGGTTTGAATGATTGAATGGCATGAATCCTGATCAAATTCCTGTTGTTTCTGCTTTAACCCATGATAGATAGAATCTGATTAGGTTAAGAGAGCTTCCTTGATTGATAGTAGTGAATTGGTTGTGCGAGAGTCAATCAATTCACTGTTTTGTACTGGAATTCATTCCAGTAGTGGAGTTCTGTGTTCTTAGCCTCAGCTTTCTATCCTGGTGAAGACTAGTCGTCTGCCGGGTAGTTGGACTGAGAGGGCTTGGTCAGCTTAAGAGATTCCAAGCTAATTTAGGATCTTCCGCAGTTTAATCAACAGTAGATCAACCACGGATTGCTGACATCCGCCCGGTCATCCTCTATCCGCCCATTCCAGCAAACAACTTCGAGATCAAGTCATGCTGGATTCAACTCATTACATCCTCTATCCAGTTCCATGGCTTGAAGGATGAGGAGGCCCGGGTGCATCTTTCCCGTTTTCTGCAGCTGACGAACGGGCTCAAGCTGAACGGTGTCCCGGATGACTTCTACAGTGCCCTCACCCCAGACAGCCAGAGGGTGATTGAGTCTCTATGCGCAGGAGGGGATATTCTCACTAAGACTCCACCCGAGCTGAACCAGATGATTAGTACCTTGGCTGCCCGAGATCATTCCTGGGGGCAGCACAGTAGAGGCAGGAATTCCCGGGACCGGGGTGTGCACGCTATGGAGGCCAGGTCCGGGTTAGAGCAGCAGGTGGCCGAGTTGGTGCAGACCAACAATCTCCTTCCGGGCCGAGGCACAGCTACGCCTCCAGTAGCTCAGTGTCAGTGGTGTGAGAGCCCGAATCACCGGGTGGAGGACTGTCAGGCTATGAGGGAGTCCTCTACTCCCCAAGAACAGGTGGACTTCATCGCAAATGCTCGGCGCCTGGACCCATATAGCAATACCTACAATGAGGGATGGCGCCAGCATTCCAACTTCGCCTGGAGCAGCAACACCACTAAACCACCTGGTTTCCCAGCACCAGCGGGTGGTTTTCAGCAGAGGCAGCCCTTCCAGGCTAGGCAGGGGCCACCACCACAGCAGCAGCCCTACCTGCCTAGGCAGGGGCAGCCATTCCAGCAGCCCCAGCGACAGTATGCCGAGCCAGCAGCAGCCCCAGCTCTCGATAACTAGATGACCGATCTAAAGAATATTTGGCGGCATTCATGACCACCAGCCAGGCGAATTTCACGAGGGTGGACCAGAGCATAGCCTCTCTAGAGGCAGGACAGAGAAACCAGGGTGCTATTCTGCAAGATTTACAGCACCAAGTCGGTGTCCTAGCGCGCCAACTTACTGCCCGGGTCCCGGCGACTCTACCTGCCACCACCATCCCCAATCCCCGGGAGCCGCACGAGCAGTTGGATGTCATCTTCACCAGGAGTGGCAGGCCCACATCGGCTGATCCTACCCCGACCAAGCAGGAGGAACCACTACCTGCTTCAGCACTTCCCGCCGATGGTACAGAAGTGCGGGTGGAGAAGGAAGCCCCTGCTCCCAAGCCACAACCAGTGGTTAAGGAGCACGTACCCCAGCTTCCCTTCCCCACTCGCCTACACAAAGACAAGCTGGAGACTGAGTTTGCCAAGTTTATGGCAATGTTGAAGCAGCTCAACATCAGCATACCGTTTGTGGAGGCACTGTCAAAGATGCCTAAGTACGCAAAGTTCATGAAAGACCTTCTCACCACCAAGAAGAAACTTGGGGATCTCTCGACAGTGCTGCTGAGCGAGGAGTGTTCTGCTATCCTGCAGAACAAGCTGCCCGAAAAGTGCAAGGACCCAGGGAGTTTCACTATCCCTCTTACTATTGGCAGCATGCATGTAGGCAAGTCCTTGGCGGACCTAGGCGCTAGCATAAACATCATGCCATATAAGTTGTTTAAGAAGCTAGGCCTAGGTGAACTTAGCCCTACTAGGATGAGCATTCAGCTAGCTGATCGTTCCATTGTGCATCCTAGGGGTATCATAGAGGACCTACTTGTTAATGTGGGTGCATTTACATATCATGTTGACTTTGTTATTCTGGATATAAATGAGGATGTGGATGTGCCTTTGATTTTAGGGAGACCATTTCTTGCCACCGCCAAGGCACTTATTGATGTGCATGAGGGTAAACTGATACTGCGTGCTGGAAATGAACAGGCTACCTTTGCTGTGACTGAATTCGACCACTCTGCTATGATTGCTGTCACACCTATGCATGCTATTTCTGACCCGGTACACGAGCCTGTCGTGTATCCGTCTGCATCTCCCATTTTGCATGATCCCCCTCTCACTCCTTCGCCGTCGCTCCCTCCAGCCTCACCACCAAATAAAAAGCTCAAAGAGGAGTGGCGGCCGAAGCAGCAGGTGCCTAAGCCCACTCGGAAGAAAGGTGGAGACCACTATGAGCTGGTCCCACCTCCTGCATCACGATCACCCTGGCCATCTGCGTACTCTCTTGCCTGCATTCTGCCTGATGGCCAGGTCGAGCTCACCAATGCTGGTGGTTGCACCCGTCGGGTGCACGGTCACCACCTGAAGCTGTATCTCAAGAGCGATGTGGATCCGCTATTGGATGCACCTGTTCATGCACCACGCTGATTATCCACCATGGGCGTCCAGCTACAAGACGGTAAAGAAGCGCTCGTGGGGAGGCAACCCCACCACGGTTTTCATTTATTTCTTTTGTTTTGGGTCGGATTGCCAATAGCTTTGGCTTTGGTTTGTTTTCTTTTGTCTTGGATGATGTAATATTGGGCTGACCATTGGACCTAACGTATTGTGTTTGAGCTCTTTGGTTTCCTTTAGCTGTGCCTCGGACTGGTTCCCCTTCCAGTCCCCTGCTTTTGTCTGGTCTGCCTCCCAATCTCCGTTCCTGATCTCACTTCACGGTAACATCGTTCCCCTTCCCTCTGCTCCATTGAGGACATTGTCGCGCTTAAGTGTGGGGGGGTTCTTTGTATTAATTGGAACGTGTGTATGGGTGCTTGGAGCCTAGTCCACTGTCCAAATCTCGAGATTTGAGGGCTCCAAGCACTGCTGTTTGCTTGATGTTTGATCGTATTGGCACTGTGGATGTGATTAGTGAATTGAATGGCTTTTGACTTGATGCATGACAACTTGAGTGTGGCTAAGATAGCCTATTACGATGACTGAGATGTGTAGTAGAGTTGTGTAGGGGTTCAGTTTTCAACTGTTTGCTTACCAACTGCGACTTGAATTTGATCACTTGCTTTTGACAGTCATTTATGCATCTAGTTCAGGGAATCAGAATGTGAGATAGAGCATATAGGTAGCCATGTGAGATTTGAGCCTGCTCGTTTCTTTCTTGTGCGATAGATTCCTCTTCCATGATGTGTAGCATTCACGTTGTCACTAGCTAAGATGATGGAGGCATAGGATTAGCCCACGACCAAATCGACTGTCCTGATGTGTCATATCCCCTAGTCAGCCCCGTTGAGCCGTGTGTTATCTTTTCTTTCGGTCTGCAATGAAAAATCACCCTTTTGTATCTTTTAGAAGGTTCCACAGAGTGGTTTTTACATGTTCTCTGCTGTTTCTGCTAAATGTAATGTGAGTGTTAGAGGTAGTGCTTAAAAGTTGGGCGTGTGTTTGAAAAATGTGCAGAGGTGGTGGTTCTCTTAAGGAATGAAAAGGGGAAAAAACTAAAGAAAAACAAAGAAAAAATGAAAGCAAAAGAGAGCCACCACCAAAAATCTGAATAAGGCCCATTAAGTAGTGTTTCTTAGCAGTCTGCCTTGGAAATGCTAACATTTGTATAACCTCCTTCGCTCTTGTGCCCTAAAGAATTTGAGTAATGCAGAATAGCAGAAAGAAAGTTATTGGTTTGCTTGACTATGATTTTTGTTGGGTTTGAAAATATGGAACATTGTGCTATAACTTCCACCACCTAAAAGGTTTTTTCCCCATGTCCAAGACCCTAGCCAGTCATTTGAACCTGTGTCTAAGACCTCCGGATTAGTTAGTGGTGACACTCCTTATGTGAACTCTAGCATTTAGAGGCTGCATTCATGGTGAAGAGACATTAGGGATTGAGAGATTAATCATGCGCATTTTTCGCATCAAATTGTCCTGACCCCATAGGTCGAGAGTGAGCGATTCATTTTCTCATATTCTCTATACTCTTTACCCCGGTGAGGACCTAGATTGCTCGGTCTTAATTCTGATATCTTGAGCTTTGTGCATGAAGTGACTGTTTTGAACAAGTGGGTAAGTCAAGTCTATGTTGGTTGATGAACAGAAGTGAATTCTTCCTTTGCTCGACTTTATTGCATTCGAATGTCATCTGTGATGGTTGTCTAGGTTGTCGTTCGAGTTGCCATGTGTTAATGATCGAGAGCCAGTATGATCCACGTGTTTTGTGCCGATATGATTTGCCCTAAAGCTTGCTTGATTGAAGTGTTTTGAGCTTACCTGGTGTCTGACTTGGTTTGCTTAGGGACAAGCAAACGGTTAAGTGTGGGGGAGTTTGATAACGGTGTAATCACATGTTTTTATACCCCTATTTCTTACCCATTTGCGGGGCATAGTTGTGTGTTTTGGCCTATTTTACGCCGGGTTGTGCTACTTTGTCATATTTCAGGTCCTAGGCGTCAAAGGGAAGGCCAAGCACGAGTTTCGGGGCATTTGGAAGTCGTTTGGTCGAGCTATGACCAAAACACGGGCAGGCTGCTTGAAGAACACGACCGTGTACACCAAAGGGCCCGCCAGTGTTTTTATTGCCGAGAGTTGAATGAAGAAAATGAGAAAACACGGGCGGGGTCAATTCAAAACACGGCCGTGTCCTACTTCAAACACGCCCGTGTTTTCCCCCAGACCGTGCCCATGTATTTATGACGTGGCAGATGGCACGGGCGGGCTGGAGCAGAACACGGCCGTGCCCTCGACCGTGTTCTGGCCAGTGATGCCCTTTTAGGCAGATTTTCAGCCAAAAGAGAGGGAATTCGAGTTTTAGAGAGACAGAGCGATTCCTAGAGAGAGAAAACGACGAACAAGAGTCTCCAAGTGCCCTAGCTTGATCTTCATCACCTTTGGAGCTTGGCTTGAGCTTGGAGAAGTGCCGATCAACGTCCAGGAGCAGAAATCCATCCTTCACAGTATGATTTCCTCGTCTGAATCTGCTTTTGCTTCTTTCTCCATGGAGTAGTTCTCCCATTCATCTGGGTATGGGGAACCCTAGATCTGTATGTTAGGTTTGATTATATGAATCCAAGTACTGTTTCCATGATTTGATTATATTCGATTGAGATTTGAATGATTGAATGGCATGAATCCTGATAAAATTCTTGTTGTTTCTGCTTTAACCTAGAATGAGAATATCTGCCTAGGTTGATAGAGCACCCTTAATTGAAGGTAGTGAATTGGTGACTTTAGTCGAGGAGCCAATTCACTATTCTGTACCGAAGTTACTTCGGTAGAGGAGGTTTTGTTCATTAGGGCCTCAATCTGTTTACTCCGGTGGAGGTTAGTCGCCCGCTAAAGACTCAGATTGAGAGGGTCTGGAGACCTTTAGTCGAGACTTCAGACTGTTTAAGAACCTTCCGCAGTATAACTATCATAGAAATTGAACTTGGTAAATTGCAATCCGGCTTAACTGCAGTCTAGGGGGAACCATATCCGGGTGACCTCTCTTAACCTGAAAACAACCGTTTAGTTGCTTTGCTTGCTTGTTAGTTTAGACCTTCACTAAAGTTTCATTGCTAGATAATACGAATTCACTGAGTAGTCATCATATCTAGGACCCGGGTTGACATTAAAACCCAAACCCGCTATACTACGCTTTAGGAAGTGGTTTCACTTGGCCATTTTCTAGAGTGACAGTAGGAGTGAGCCACCAATGTAAGTCTATATGTTAATAATTCCATAGAAGTTTGGATTAAAAGCTTGCTAGTCAGTTTTGGTTAAATTGTACCTATTTAGGAACTAATATGTTATTCTAACAGGATGAGAGCTATGACAAGCGGCAATTAAGAAAATAGCTGAATGACACGTTGGTGTCTGATCTAAAGCTCCGTTTGAAGACTTGCCTTGACCTAAAGATAGAAGTATTCACTATTTGCTCACACTTTTGAAGTTTCTTTCATATCTAATTTCTGTTTTCTTTCTTTTCTGTTCCTTGATGTTAAAGTCGTGGCCCCTCAGTTTAGCCGACTAACTAAAAAGTATTGAAATAGTCAAGATTTTATTCAAAAAACGAAGAAATGGAGGGGACAAATGTATCTTATCCCATGATGGCAAAACTCTCTTTAACTACCTAAAGAGAGTTATAGACCTAAAGAGAGTTTTGCCGTAATGGGATAAGATACATTTGTTCCTTCTATTTCTTCGTTTTTTGAACAAAATCTTGACTTTTTCAATACTTTTTAGGTAGTCGGCTAAATTGAGGTGCCACGACTTTAACATTAGGGAATAGAAAAGAAAGAAAACATAAATTAGATATGAAAAAAAAACTTCAAAATTGTAAGCAAATAGTTAATACTTCTATGTTTAGGTCAAGACAAGTCTTCAAACGGAGCTTTAGATCAGACTCCAACGTGTCATTCAGGTATTTTCGTAATTGTCTCTTTGTCATCGCTCTTATCCTGTTAGAATAGCATATTAGTTCCTAAATGGGTACAATTTAACCAAAACCGACTAGCAAGCTTTTAACCAAACTTCAATGGAATTATTAACATATAGACTTACATTGGGGATAGTAGGCGAATGAGTGGGAGGAGGATCCCTCCTTTTCCGAGAGCTGCTACTACCAACATCGTCCATTAGCAAACAAATTAGTGCTTAGAAGTTGTGTCCTCTCTCAAATCAACTCAGACACCTCGAATTGGTCCTAAAAAAAATGAAATGTCAGAACACAGCACAAAGAAAAGAAAAAAAAATATGAAGGCATAAACCAAGCCGCTGAAGAAGCAGCAGCCAACAGTAGTCACTGGCTTGCTAGCGACCAGCAAGGAGGAGAGACAGAGTATGTGAGTATTGGCGGCAAACAGTTGTCAGAAGCCATTAAGACAACTATTTTTATCATTCAATGCTGAGAGCAAACCTCATAATCCAACCAATGAGCAGTAAAAAAGTATAATCAGTTTATCAAGTAAAAAACAAACCCTAGATCTACAAAGCTACGCTATTAGAAGATGATATGAAGCATGAAAATGTAGGAATAGCAAGAGAGTCTACTCACTGTAGAAGTATGAAGCTTTCTAAGTCAGAGAACCAACAGAAACCCACCGCGAAACCACCGTTGAGCGAGACCTGCCGATTTTTCACAGAAAACCCTCAGCGCAAAAGGGCTCTCGTTCTTCTTAGCTGATGTACGTGTTTCAGTTACCGGAAGGATTGATCCATTAAATTCCGAGTTTGATTACTGGGTTTTGGTAGGGACAAAAAAAAGGAGGAGAATATTCACTGGCTCAGCTGGAATCGCCTGTGTGATGAAAAAGAACATGGATGAATATGATTCTGAGACTTAAGAGCCTTTAATAAGGCGCACCTTGCAAAACAGCTCTGGAATATTATGATAAGGGCATAAGGCCTCACTCTTTTGCTGCTAGAATCCTAAAGGCAAAATAAATTCCCGACTCATAAATCCTCGATGCTCGGGCTAATCCCAAAGCAAGTTATGCCTGGAAAAGTCTAATGGGAGCTAGAGCACTTCTGGAGGAAGGAACTTGCTGGAGGGTTGGGGATCGAAAACAAATAGTGATGTGCTATGATAAGTGGCTGCCAGATAAAGCAAATTATAGACCCAACCACAGTTGGGGATCTATGATTTTCAGCCATGGTAGACAGCTTGATTGACCCAAATTCTAGAGACAGATCAATCAAAACTGCATTCATTTTTCGACGAATCGGATCAACGGATAATTAGGCAGATTCCTACCCGGACCAAGGCGTTGAAGATTCTCTAGTCTGGAACGACACCCCTATTGGTGTGATTAGGGTTAAGTCTGCCTACCTCCTATATCGGAGTATCAATGGAGCTAATGCAAACCGCATGGACTGTGACCATACCCCTAACCCCAAATAATGGACATTCCTCCTTAGGTAAAAGTATTTTTATGAAAGGTTGGAAGAGGTATCATACCTACAGGAGCAAGTTTGGGAGCAAAGTCTCAATTCAATGGCCCTGAATTTCCATTCTGCGGTGATGTGGAGTCACAACTGCAGATTCTGAGGGATTGCTCCCGGTCTCGGAGGATCTGGATACCCTGTGTTGAAGCTGTGTGTTTCAAATGGTTCCAATCAGACCTCAAAATTCAGTACCCAACTCACAAATGCTATATACAAATCATAGAAGCAAAAAACATAAACAAATTGGAAAGCAGAAAAAAGAAACACATATTGGTGGGCGGAGGAATCGATTCAGACGGTCAGTTTCAGTAACAGAGATTCAGAGGGGGAAAGATTAAGTAGGGACTTACATTGTACGCCGGGAAGTGTCGCTTGGTCGGAGACTCGGAGCGGCCGGAGCTGGCGAGTTAAGGAGAAGCGATTTTCAATCGCTCAGTTGAGTAACAGGGGAGGTACTGAGCGGCCGGAGCTGTCGAGACGAGAAATGAAGGGGAACTGGAGCTCGCGGGTCGCCACAGGGAAGGGGAGACAGGGAGAAGTCGGACTTGGACTCTCGGAGCTCGCGCAGGCGATGCAGGGGAGGGAGACCGGACCTCGCGACAGGGGAGGCAAGGTCGCGACTCGGAGTCGTCGTCCGCGGTAGTCCGTCGCCGATTGTGGGCTACGCGGCTGCGCAGTCGGAAATGAAATGGGGAGAGTTGTTTAGGGTTTCTTGGTTGCTGCAGTGACGCGAGTAGAGAGTGGAGAACGAGAGCTGGGTACTGGCCTACTGGGTAGTGGGGGTTAGGGCCTAGCGGCCTAGGGCTAGGGGTAATGCGAACGACAGTAGTCAGTACTTAGGTAACCAGTTCGCGGAGCGGGAGCGAGAGCGTGAGCGGGAGCGAGAGCGTGAAAGCGTCTAGTTTAAAAGAATTCAATATTAAGAGCGTGTATAGAGCGTAATTATTATATTATTTTTATTAAATTTTTAATTCATATTAATTTCCAATTAATAAATAATTTTGTGTTAAGATTATCTGTAATACCATTAGTGTTAAGAAAAGAAAATTTTCATGGTATAAAAAATATGTTATCATATTAGTTAATATTCTTATACGAGAAAAGTTATTATTATTTTATTCATTTGTTAATATATTTATTTACAGTTTATTTTTTTATTTCTTATCCTCTTTACTTTCTCTCTGCCAGCCACCTAACCTAACTCCCTCTCTCTCTTCAATCTAATTCCCCAACACAGAGGGCAATTCCCTCTGTTTTCCCCAAAGTTTCAATCCCAGATTCTCACTCTCCATTCTCCATGCAAGCGGTAGATGCTTCTTCATTTGCCTTAATCCTAAACTAGATCAATTAATCGATCGATTGGACTCCTATTGTGACTAATTTTATGGGCAGAAGAAGAACGACGGAGTCGGCAGGCCGTGAATTCATGGTGCCGGCGAGGAAGGTGATTGAACAGAGGCCTCTTTCTCGTTGCTCTGTACTCAAATTCTTGTTGTTTCCTATATCAACTATGATTCTCCCGATCTTGCTAAGATGATTACCCTATGAATTGGTTGCCATCTTCTTTCTCACTTCGTCAGCCACTCTCATCCACTACAGATGTCTTCATATATATATTTAGTTGTTGGATTTCTTAGGTTTCACTACCAAATCAAGACTTTGATTCCAATTCATAGCTCTTGCTTTCATGTTTTTAGAAACAAGAGATTAGTTCGTTGACGATTCGCGCTCTTCTGTAAAATAATTCGCGATCCCGTGAAATACAATTCGCGAATTATTTACGATTTGTGGGAAAATCGCGATTTGCCGCTTTAGAGCGGGAGCGGTGGGGTTGGGTAGACGAATTAGGTAACATAAGTCAGTACATTGGGGAGGGACCGGTTAGCGGTTTAGAACTTTCACCATTGGTTATTGGTTAACCACTAACCTCAGTTTTGGTTATTGGTTTAACCAATAGAAAAAACACCTACTGCCCACCGAGCCATTACATTATGTTTGGCTAGAGATACAAATAGAGAGTAAAATTTTTGGGATAAATGTCATTTTCAATGCATTTACCCTATTTAAATTAATATTAAAGTTACTATAATGTGTATTATATTATATTATATTTAAATAATTATATTTATTTTGAATAAATATATGAAAATAATGATTGTTGTTATTAAAATAGTAAGAAAGGCTATAATTACTATTGAATCATAAATCATAATTTTTATAATTTTTATTATTATAGTTATTATTAATGTAAAATTTGTCCGTGAATCACAAGTTTGTCAAATTTGCTTTGATTGTTGAATGTGTTTAACGAAGTTTGACTCAAATTTGCGTTGGAAGTATAGGGAAGAAGTTATGAAAAAAGTAGAATGAGAAAATGTTTGCGTTGAAAAGTATACAAAATAAGTGTCTTGTAAATACTGAAGAAAAATTGACAGATTTGTCATTTTGGACAGGACCAAATAGGACCGAATACAATGATGGTATGATCCTTGGTCTTAAGTTGTTTAATGCTATTGGATCGCGGTTCTTATGAGTTTGGTCCAGTCCGGACAAAACTGAACTATTGCACACCCTACCTAGTTCGGGTTCACTGTTTGACTTGAGAGCAAGTTTGTCAAGGTTCGTCTAGTCAAATCGAGATCACATGTCGTCAAACAACGCTCGAGCGGGAGACATGAGCTAGCTATATGTCTTGGCCATAGGTTGGGCTTCGAGTTTCGAGATTGCTCGATCAATGATTAATTACTATTTAATCATTATTATCTTAATAATTAATTTTATTAAATCATATTTGTTAATATTTATGATTATTATATGAAGTTTTTAATTTATTATTTCGTGGTAATCTTTTATAAATTTAATATGTATATTTTATAATAATATAATTCACTTACTTTTTACCATATTTGCACCCCACTACTTTTTCATCCAAACAACAATTTACCTCTCCACTTACACCCCCGCATATTTGCACCCCTTGAAATTTACCAATCAACTTGCACCACCTCGAATGCCCCCCTAATTGCCAAACACAACATTAGTGTATTTTCGGTTATCGATTTAATTGATAAACCAATTACCAGCCCTAATCACAGGGGTGTTTAAGTCCTTCCCGAAAGAAGTGGTTAGAAATTTTTTCTCTGGTTTATCTGGCCAAATAATCTCATGTTCAATAACCTAAAATTGGACGAGAGTGAAATCGCTCAAAAAGCCTCTAATTGTAACACTCTAACTGAACACTCGCTTTTACAGAAAATACATAAAACTTATAAAACATTTTTGGGACTAATTTAAACTTTACAAACCAAAGTATAAAAAGGTAAACAGATTGACAGTAGATTCCATGTGGAAACATGTTCAGTCCTCCGCCCACCTCAAAAATCAAAACTTGAAGGTTGAAGCCATTGCTTCTACTTCTACCACTTCTTGTAGTTGCTCTGGATATGGGGGGGGGATATTTGAGGAAGGGTGAGTCGCCGCTCAATGAGTAAATTCTAAACCTAAATGATCAACAACACACAAGCGATATTTAGCACGACACGCTTTAAATACACTTCATTTACTACTCACTCCTACTGCTTATCATTCCCGTTTATAACAATTCAATTTCCAGGTATAATTTTGGTCATCAATGGAAGAACTATCTCTTCGCCATTCATTAGCGATCACTTCACGATTCATTTATCAAGGTGCTAAGGCACCCGATGTCACTGTTCGGTATCTAATCATTGGATACCGCTACTTTGCACACCTCTAATGACAAGCAATCACATTATGATGCTAGGGCACCATTTACTCATTCACATATACTCATCAAAATCCACATCACATGAACCATAACACGATGCTAAGCACCATGAGCTCACTTATTTCCAGTCATGCCAGTAAACAGTTCAGTATATCATTCTCATTCCCATAATCAATTACACGCACACACACATACACACAGTTGGTTAGGTTCATTATATGCATTTTCATTACTTTGCCACGTCGTGTACTTCCCCGGGTATCTCGCAGCTTTTGGTATCAAGTGTCGGGTCGGTCGGACCCTATATCATTAATAAGCTTTTGGCACCATGTGTCAGGCCGCTCAGACCATATATCACTTCGCAACTTTTGGCATCAAGTGTCGAGCTGGTTGGACCCTATTACATTTGGCAGCTTTTGGCATCAAGTGTTGGGCCGGTCGAACCCTATATCATTTCGCAGTTGTTTACACCTAAAAAATAATCCTGTACCACATTAATTATTTACAAGGCATTTATTATCTTTATAAGGTCATATCATTAATGACAATTAATGTTATTTGAATTGGGCCTCATGATATTAGTTTTTAAGCCCCAAACTACTAAGTCTCCAAGAAGGAGTTAGTCTCCTTGCGAGTTGAAGAGCCCAACGGGGTCGCGAGATCTAGACCGCGCTGGCGTCAAATTTAGAGTCTGACGTGTTTGCGAGATCTAGACTGTGTTGGAATCAAATTTAGAGCCCGACGTGGTCGCGAGATCTAGACCTGGTTGGCGTCAAATTCAGAGCCCGACGTGGTCGCGAGATCTAGTCCACGTTGGCGTCAAAGTTAGAGCCCGACGTGGTCGCGAGATCTAGACCGCGTTGGCATCAAATTTAGAGCCCGACGTGGTCATAAGATCTAGACTGCGTTGGCGTCAAATTTAGAGCCCAACGTGGCCGTGAGATCTAGACCGCATTGGCGTCAAATTTAGAGCCCGACGTGGTTGTGAGATCTAGACCACGTTGGCGTCAAATTTAGAGCCCGACCAGGTCGTGAGATCTAGACCGTGTTTGCGTTAAATTTAGAGCCTGACGTGGTCGCGAGATCTATACCACATCGTGAGTTTGGACCATATCCAAGATCTGAACTAACAAGTTGGAAGTAAGAAAGCAAGCCATGTGGGAGAGGCAAGTAACAAGACGACAGTTCCAAGATGAAGAGCAGGCTGTTAATAAAGCAATTGCCGATTATCCCACGTACAATGACACGTCAGCCACATCCGAGAAAGAAGAGGGGCAGTTCTTTTTGGAAGTTACTCTAAGACAGTTTTCTACGACGGTTATCATCTCAAGCCTATAAATAGAAAGAGGAGGGGTTCACCAAATTCACACTAGACAACCCAATGTCAAATTTTATCCTTTCATCGTTTCCTCTGCAACTTTATCCTTAGTCGTAGATCTGGAGCTCTCACTGAACCTCCATAGGAGTAGGAGTAACTTAATGTAGATCTGTCTCGTGAGTCGTGTAAACATCGAACACCCTCGTTCGAACTTTGTTTGAAGAGGTGTGAGCAGTGTCTTAGTGATCGCTTGTCCAAAGAAGTCAAGGTGCATTCAATTCGTTTCAACACAAGTTTTCCCGCCGGAAAACAAATTTGGCACACCTGGTGGGACGCATGTGGTCAATTCGATGGCTCCGAGGCGGAGGAATCAAGAAGGTGACATTCCGGCTGGTTTCGTGGAGGAGAAGGTGGCCAACATCGAGCATGGTCAAGCGTCCGACGCGATGACCGGAGGAAACGGTGGAGCAGAGATCTTGGTGGCGAGCGCGCCTAGTGGGGATCTCGGTGAAGCCGTGGGAGCCCTTCGTCAGATGATGGAGGAGAACTGCAAGATGGTGGCATCGAACCGTCAACCCACAGAGGAGAACAGCAAGATGGTGGCAGAGAATCTTCAGGCCACGAAGGAGAACCGCCAAATGGTGATGGAGAACCGTCACATGTTGGAGGAGACTCGGGCTAGTACTCCTGAGGTAAATT